GGGAAAGGGGGGGCGCGGGGGAGCCCCTTTCCCAAAAAGAAAAAAAAAAAACAAAAAAAAAAAAAAAAAGAACTCAAGGTCCAGAGAGGCAAGGCAGCTTGCCTGAAGTCACACAGCCATTCTGCAGCCCAGCCGGAGTTTGCATTGTGGGCCTCCTGCTTCTAGTGTTCAAGGTTTTTGATCTGCCCCACAGGAAAGTGAGACAAGCTGCCACCTTAGGGATGAAAATCAGGCCAGCACTTATATTCAGAGTAAGGTTCAGAACAAGGTGGTCTCAAGAGGCATGGGACTCAGTTGGGCCTTGAAAGACAGATGGGGTTTGCAGAGGCTCAGGTGGGTAGGGAAAGAAGAGGCGTCGGCAGGGGGAATGGCTTGGACAGAGGTCGTGGAGGTGGGAAGATGTGGAGTGGTGTGACTTGCAATAACCATTGATAGCAATCACTTCCAGACTTTTCCCTCTATCTTCCATTTGATTGTCACAAGAATCCCATGAAGAAGACCTGTGGTGACCCCATTTCACAGATGGGAAAGATGAAGTGCCCCACACTGTCCATTCAAAAACAGGGCAGCTGAGCTAGGAGACAGCCAGGCCTAAGCTTAGATCTGGGTGTTGCATTCTGGCTGGGAGACCTAGAGTATGACTTAACCTCTGAGGATCTGTGTCAGGAGCATTCAGAGAAATGTCAGGATACTGCCTGGTGTGTGGCGCAGGAGTTGAGCTCTGCATCAGCGTTAGTACTATCTCTAGGGCTCCACAGTAGTTCTGGACAGAGCTTGGTGAGAACCATGGGGATATCACTCCAGAGGCTATGTGTGTGGTGTGCGTGTGTGTGTGTGTGTGTGTGTGTGTGTGTGTGTGTGTATGTGTGTGTGTTATATACAGGTGTCTCCTCAGCACAGCCTGTTTCCTCTCTACCTGCCATCTTGGATCTTTGGGGAAGGCAAGATCTTGTGTTAGCTTCAGAGGAAGGTAAAGTACCCTGCACATGGCACTGGAAGACCACAGTTCAAGTCCCAGTTCTGCTTTACTTAGTCTAAGTCCTAACTCACTCATCCATAGGTCAGGGACCTTGCAGTATCACCATGAATGTCAAAATGCTGGTGTGTGGCGCAGGAGTTGAGCTCTGCATCAGCGTTAGTGCTATCTCTAGGGCTCCACAGTAGTGGTCCTTCCTTACACCTACTGGGTGGTGTAAGGAAGGACCCCACCTCCAGATGCCTCCTTTGGGTCCTTGGAGCCAGAGCTGTGCATAGGACAATTGTCAGTTTGCTTTCTGTTCTCCCACCTCCATAGATTTTCATGTTAGCAGAGATGGGGAGGGAGATTGCAGAAGCATGGCAGCCACTCTGGTCAGGTCCTCCATGTTGGCCATCTCTGAGGGCACCATTTACAGTGTAGACTGTTGGTGGTCCTGGCCCTTTCAGAAGAGAAGTGACAGGATGAATTAAGCCTGGGATAGCAGAGTGAACAGGGGCAGGGACTGAATCTAGGAATGCTGATGTGTGTGCAGTGGACTTGGCAGGCTGGGTATGAGGTGCTCAAGGATTCCTTTAAGACTGAGAGTATGGGAGGCTGTGGGTTAGGGGTTCAGTTGGGGCTGCCAAGGATCCAGTGGTCCAGGATGGATGACCAAGAGGTAGTGCCATGCGTTTATCATGCAGTCAGCTTGAGAGAAGGGTCTGGGGAGCAACTCCATGGCTGTCTTGGTAGTCTGGGGAACAGTATGGACAGGAGAGGCAGACCCAGAATTTTATATTCCCCAGCATTGAAGCTGCTGCAGTGCCTTGTCTCCACCCACTGGGACAGGAATAGCACCCGTTCTACTTCACAGGGTGAGAGGGGACCTGTGGTTAAGGGGTTAGAGTATCAGGCCCAACTTGGCTTGGGGACATCCTATGAGATGGTCTAAATCCTGCCTGGGGCCTTGGTAGTCAGAAATTCCAGCCTCTGTTCTTACTAGTGCTACCATCAGAAGACCTGGCTTGTCCCCCCTCCCCATTTCTTTCTTGTGTTGTATGCACATGTGTATGTAGTTGCATGCACCCAGAGGCTAGAGGAGGACATCAGATTTTCTGCTCTACCAAGCCTTATTCCCTAGAGACAGGGTCTCTCACTGAATGTGGAACTAGGCTGGCAGCCAGCAAGCCCCAGCTCTCCTCCTGTTTCTGTCCCCCTTCCACTCAGCATGGGGGTTATAGTTGAGTGCACTGCCCTGCCTAGCTTTTTATGTGGGTGCTGGGGATTTGAACTCAGGCCCTCTTGCTTGTTCAGGAAGCACTCTTACCTGCTGAGCCATCTACTCGCCCCTTGCTGATGTTTTTAAAGTGAAGTTTAATGTCTGTTTGAAAGTGTATAGGTTTTGGGACAACCCTGAAAGTTGTGTGATTGCTGCCACCACTGAGACAGAGAACATTTCTGTCACCATGAGAACTTCCTTCATGCTCCTATATATGGTCAGATCTCTTACTCCAAACTCTGACCCCACTGACATCTGCCTCTCTGATGTCACAGAGATGCAGTCACATAGTAGGCCTTTTGTGCAGGCTTCTGTCATTTAGCATGGATTTGAACTCTTCTGCTTTTCCTGCAGAGCAGCAGTCGCTGTGTGGATGTACCCATCACCTACTGTGCATTATTCCATCAGAGGATACTTGAGGGGCTTTTGGTATGGGTGGTTATGAGGCCAACCACTTGCACTGTGTGCAGGTCCTGGCCATGTTTTCACTTCTCTTGAAAGAACACCTTGAAGTGGGGGTGCTCTGTTGTATGGGAGCTGTCTGGCTCATAGACTGCCATTGTGTTTTCACCTTGGCCTGGTTACATCTCAGGGATCAGTATCTGAGGGCTGAGAGTTCCATGTGTGTGTGTGTGTGTGTGTGTGTGTGTGTGTGTGTGTGTGTGTGTGTGTGTGTGTGTGTGTGTGAGAGAGAGAGAGAGAGAGAGAGAGAGAGAGAGAGAGAGAGGTGTCCTGTGCATATGTGTGTGCAGGTACATGAAACCAGAGGCCAAACAATGGTGTTGAGTATCCTGGTCTGTTATGCTCTGTCTTACATACTTGAGAAAGGCTCTCTCACTGAATGTGAGGCTGGGCTGGTAGCCTGAAATCCTCCTGGCTCTGCCTTATACAGTGCTGGGGTTACAGGTACTTGTGTGATTGTGCCCAGCTTTTTGTGTAGCTACTGGGGATTTGAACTCAGATGACTGCATAACAATCGCCCTTGCCCACTGAGCCATCTCTCCAGCCCCAGCAGTGGCAGTTTTTTGAAACCAAGATTCAAAATATGGCTGAAGCCAGCTGGGTACCTCTTCAAGGCAGAATAGTTGTAGCTAGTGCCAGCCCTCTGCCCTTCATCCTGACCATTCCCTTCATGGAATGAACTCCCATTCTCCCCATTACCCGGAGGCCACTCAGGAAGCCTCCCCTGACTATATGGGACTCCTGAGACATTCCAGCCCCCATGGCCTGATGGCTGTCAGAGCCCTTGCACCTTCTGATAGATCAGAACATCTTGTCTCCTTGGAGAGAGCAAGGCAAGCCTTCCTCATGCCGCCCCCACCCCTCACGCCTGGCATGCAGGAAACTGCTGTAGAGAAGCCTGAAGCAGTATGTACAGGGTCACAGTGGGTGCTGGGTTATGAAACCTGGTGTCTGGGGCCCTCAAGAGAAGAGAGCAGAGATTCAAAGTGATGGAAACCACAGCAGGAAGCCCGAGAGGCTCAGCTGCCCTAGCCTCCAAGGTTGTCCATTCCTCTCCCCTCCCAGTCTCCATCTCCTTCCTTACTCTGTTAGAGAGCGAGAGTCTGTGCAAGCCTGATGCTGACCTGTCCTTTTTGCATTATTAATTTCCTGTCTTGTGGGGATTAAACTCTGAAACATCTCAGAAGGCCTCTGTCACAGGTTGAGGCTTTCCACTCCTCCACCTCCTGCCCTGTCCTTTATGGCTCTTTGCTCAAGATGTCAGGTGGACGGGCCCCACTTCCTGTAGGATTGTTGGGGCACAGGTTCTGGTGCTCCAGTTCCGTGTAAGGATGCCACCTAGTTGCTGATGCCGAGGCAGAGGCCAACCACTGTGCCAGAGAGGGAAGTCTCACCCTTAAAGTCACCCAGCCAATGAGTGGCAGAGAAGCCGTAGACACCTTGTCCTGCAGTTGTCCCTGTTTCTGTTGTCTCCTGATGCTACCCCTACATTTGTAAAGTGCTTGCTCCTCCCCTAATCCTCTATCTGTAGAGCTGTCTGTGGAAGAAAGCATCATGCCTTTGTCCCATGCCCCCAGTGCAATGCTTAAGCAAGAGCGAAGCCCGAGATACAGAGGGGTGTCCCTGAGGGAGGGACATGATGCCCCTGACACTGCCTGCACATATCTACCATAGCCCTGCCTCTCCAGCTGCAGAGCTGCATGGTCTTCTCCTCTTCTTCCAGAGACCTTCCTGAGAACTGAGTCTCCTGGTGGTCCTCTGGGTGCTGACCACTGTGTACCATTTAGTATGGTGATTTTCATCCACATTTTTGTCTTCTGAGGCACTGTTGACTTCAGGACAAGATCCATGTATGTTTCATGGCTGCCGCTCCAGTGCCAAAAGACAGAACTTGGTATTCAGTAGATAATGAATAATTGTGAATAAGTGGATGAATAAAAAAAAATGCTGGTGATGAAGTGAATGGCGGTGGATGAATGGTACCGGGTGACATATCACGATGGGTGATGGTGGGAGGTTGGGGAGAAGAGGCTGTCAGTGGTAGATAATAACCCAATAAAGGGTGGTGGCCAACAGCAACTGGAAAAGCACAATAGAAGGATGGGTAAAAGCTGGCTGTGCTGGAGGGTAGTGTGGTGATGAAATGCTGGGCAGGGAGTGATGCCTGTTTTTGCACCAGCTCTCCCTAGGGGCCCCTGCTGTGGCTCTTGGTCCTATTAATTTCTCTGATGCTATGGCCTGTTCCTTTGCAGACTCCATCGGGGGCCCCTTCCCGGTCACCTCTCACCGATGCCATCACAAGCAGAAGCACTGCCCACCGGTGCTGTCGGGTGGGGGGCTCCCGGCCACACCGCTGCTCTTCCATCCCCACACCAAGGGCTCCCAGATCCTCATGGACCTCAGCCACAAAGCCGTCAAGAGGCAGGCTAGCTTCTGCAACGCCATCACCTTCAGTAACCGCCCGGTGCTCATCTACGAGCAAGTCAGGCTGAAGGTGGGCGCCCCTGACCTCACCTATGACCTCTCTCCAGCCAGGGCCTGCTGTTTTCCTATTTCCTTCCTGCCCCCCTCATTCCTTCTCGCTGCTTACCCCTCACATCCTTACTCCTTTCTTAGCCTTCAGGGGTGGGAGTGGCTTTCAACAACCTGTAGGAAGGCTTCAGGGGAGGGAAGGAATCAAATGGCAGTGAGCTGGCCTCAGGACACTCCTCTAAGAGTGCTGAGGGTGGTCTACAGAGAAGCCCCTCACCTCGGTCATCTGACCAAGGAGGAGTGGCTAGGCTGAGGCTACCCACTCCCTGTCACCAGATCACCAAGAAGCAGTGCTGCTGGAGTGGGGCCCTTCGACTCGGCTTCACCAGCAAGGACCCCTCCCGCATCCACCCTGACTCGCTGCCCAAGTATGCCTGCCCTGATCTGGTGTCTCAGAGTGGCTTCTGGGCCAAAGCTCTGCCTGAGGAGTTTGCCAACGAAGGCAACATCATTGCCTTCTGGGTGGACAAGAAGGGCCGCGTCTTCTACCGCATCAATGACTCGGCTCCCACGCTCTTCTTCAATGGGGTCCGAACGGCTGACCAGCTCTGGGCCCTCGTGGATGTCTACGGCCTCACTCGGGGTGTCCAGCTGCTAGGTGAGTGCCACCCCTCTGGCCCCTTAGGTGTAGAGCACACTTTCCAAAAGTTCAGGCACTAGGACAATGCCATGAGTCATGGGGGCCACTGGTAGCATCCCTAGAATGAAGGAGGCCCAGGAACAGTTCCAGAACTTTCCTGTGAACTCCAAAGCCCCCCTCCTCCTGGCTGCAGCTTTGACAAATGGAAGCTGAGCTTGATTCTGACTGGCACAGGCCCTTGGGGTTCTCTGTGAGTAGTGCACAACCTTCACCATCAGAAATGGTGGCCTTGTCCTTGCTCAGGAGTGCTTAATGCTGATCTCAGTATCCATAGTCTTTGGAGGGGTGTGTCTCATAGCAACCCTGAGAAGTAGACTCTGTATTGGTGGAAACTTAAATTTAGGGACATTAGGTCCCTCAGGGGTGAATGGTAGAGCCAGCTCCAAATCAAGCCCTAGCTCTGGCCTGCAGCCTTCCTGGCACCTGGGCTCTAGCTCACATTGAGCTTGCTGTAGAGATGGTAAGACAAAGAGATGGGAAGGGGGTGCAGAAAGCACTGGGGCACTCAGATCCTTCCAGCTGCTCCTGAGTCCCCAGTTTACATGACGCACTTGCAGGAGAGGGAGAGAACAGACAACCTATATATAGGGACTGAGAGAGTCGCATGGGAAGGGGGCCTGGAATGTCAATGTACAGGCTTCCTAGCCATGGCACCTGCCAGCACTGCCAGGGTGTCCAGAGAATCTGACTGCTTAGAAGCCCACAGTGAGCTGGTGATGGAGGTGGGAATAGAACCCAGTCTGTTTCCCAGTCCAGTATCTTTCCCAGCTTGCTATATGTGTTCGTAAGTATTCAAGCATGTGCTTGTGTGCGTGTGATCAGCCTATCGGCAAACTGGCTTTGTCTCCAGGCAGAGTGTACACAAGCCTCAGCCTTCTCATCTGCAAGATTGGAATGAGTTGGAGAGGCTGAGAGTAAAGTGGCCAGCCCTGGCCTGGGTATCCAGTGTGTGTCCAGCATACACTTGCTCCTTCTGTCTCCCATCCGCACTTCCTTCACTCTGCAGAGAGAAATACCACGAAGGGGGTTCAAAAGTGGTTTTCTAGCTGGATGGGCATGATGGCAAATGCCTTTAATCCCAGCAGGCAGAGGCAGGCAGAGCTCTATGATTTCAAGGCTCGCCTGGTCTACATATTGAGTTCTAGGCCAGTTGGGGCTGCAGGGAGACCCTGTCTCAAAAACAAAACAAAAAGCAAACAAAAAAAACCAGACCCCCCCCCCCAAATTTTACATTTTTCTTTTTTGCTTTCTGACTTCAAAGCCTAGAAATGGTGAAAGTTTTCAAAAGTGCTTTTAAAAAAGAGTGAAAGTAAAAAATAAAGACATGAGCAATTGCCAGGAGCTTTTCTGTTTGTTAAGTTCCAAACGTCAGGAGGCTGTTTTTATTAACTAGCAGTTTGGGAACTTTCTGTTTTTTTCAAGTCAATAAAAGTGTTCCTGCATTAATGCTGATATGTTGAGAGCCTGAAACTGGCTGTTCCTGGTGTCAGCCACTGAAGAAGGGTATCCGGGCTAGCCAGGGCACTCTCTCCTACCTCCTCTGTGTACTGGGTACCCCCCCTGTGGGTCACTACCTGCCAGAAGCTATGAACCTGAGCTAGAGAGATAGATTCAGTGCCAGGGTACCTGTGCTAAGTATGGGACTCATCTGTATTATGGGGCAATAGTAACCACTCCCAAGGCTCTTTAGAAGTCACAAAGGGTTGGCATATGAGAAGCAGTTGATACACAGTAGAGGCCAGTGGCTGTTAGTCATCCCCACCCATCCTGTAGAGGGCAGTGCTTAACCCAAGGTTCAAATGAGTCCTACTGCCCTGGTGCCTGCCAGGTCTCACACTCTAATGTAGTAGGGTCCCTAAGCTCCATCCCACATCCTGTTTAACCTCTGTGTTCTGGTCTGCAAAGCATTTGTATCCTCTATCTTACCCAGAGCCCTGCCTCATGGTGGAAGGCAGAGAATGAAGACTGCCGGCTCTTGATAAGGTCACTGTCTTGTTGGGTGGGAGCAGTGAAGGAAATAGGACAAACACTCTTGCGTCTGTATAAGCAAACTGACTTCCAGTGCTGAGGATTGAACCCAGGGCCTCGAGCATGCTAGGCAAGTATGCTACCACTGAGTGACATCTTTCTACTTTTCATTTGAGCCAGGGTCTCACTTGGCTGCCCATGCTGGCTTTGAACTTGCAATCTTCCTGCCTCGGCCTCCCTTAGTAGCTGGGATTACAGGCCTGTGCTACCAAATCTGGCAGAGTGTCCTTCCTCATAGACCATACTCTGGCCTGAGGCCTCTGTAGAATTTTCTTCTCCAGCCTGTGCCCACCACACAGTGCCTGTGCTTCTCACAGCTCTGCTCAGAGAACAGGAGTGCTCTGAGGGAGGAGCCTGGGTCCTACGAAGCCAGCTCCCTTTAGAGGCCTGAAAAGCGTGCTGGGTGAAGGTTGCCACATAGGAGGGGAGAGCGAAGGATGGCTGAAAGGGAGGACAGGGACCTGTCAGCTGAAGCAAAGAGCAGGTGGGTGGGGTTGAGGGGCACCAGCTCTGCCCTCAGATAACAAAAGGTTCATTGGGCAGTTATGGGAGGGGAAGCAGACACCAGGATTCTAACAGGACACAACCTGGAGAGGGTAGTAAATCGCTAACTGCTGTGGTCATAGGATCCCTTCATCTGCCCAGACATTTCCATCGTTAGCTCACTTAACCTCTCAGTGGCAGGGCTGGAAAAGAACATTTTTTTCATTCCCATTTGGCAGGGAGAAAACTGAGGCCTGTGGAAGGCCTGTCCTGTCCATGTAGGGATGTGACTGAGCTGGAACTGAACAGGGAGTTCCAGGATAAAAAGCAATGCCTTTCTCATCACCCTTTAACAGGTTTAAACATAAAAGGAGGTGGACAGGTCTAGGAGGGTGGAACCCAGGAAGGTGTCTTGGAAGAGGAGGCTTGGGCTGGGCCATAAGGAATGTAAATTCTAGGAGACTCTGAAAGGGGAATGTGCCTAGTGACATGGGGCTTCTGACCTTCAGGTCCTATGGTAGGGGTGGAGGCCGGAGAAGAATCTGCAGAGCTCCATACTGGAGCCAGAGCCTAGGCTGCCCAAGCAGGCTTGGCCCATACCCCTCCGTGACTATACATGGGTTTGCACAGAGTAGTTCAGTTGCCCTTGGATCTCGTGGCAGGCTCCTCTGTGTACGCCATAAAGCCGAGGCCTGTGAGTCCTGTCACAGCCATAAATCACCATAATCCCTGGCATTTTCAAACATGGATTGTGGCCCCCTAAAGTCAATTAACAGATTAAAATAGCTCTTCATTTTGCCCCTCCTAAATTGATTTGTATGTCTGTGAAAAACAAAAGTCAGAGGGGGAGGGAAGAGGAAGAGAGGAGGGGAGGAAAAGGGGGAGGGAGGGAAAGAGAAAGAGGAAGAAGAAGGAGAGGAGAAGAAAAGGAGGAAGGAAGGAAGAGGAGGAAGAGAGGCACCGTGGCAGCAGCGACAAAAGTATGGATCTCTGAGGCTGGCTGCCCGCTTCTTCCTTTGGTGCTCCTGCCCCCTGAGGCACATCGACTGCCCAGAATACACTCAGGATCCTTTTCCTTCCTTTCTTTCCTCTTTCCTCTGACTCCCATTGCCTGCCATACAACTCTCCCTCCCTC